ATCGGATACCTTCGAGAGTTCTTGACTTTGCCACTCTTATAGGGTTGTTTCAAGGGTCAGTTTCTCATTATTCTATTCCCCCAAAGGTTTTTGGTTTCATGTGTTTTGTACATCATTACCAAAAGACCAAGGGGAAGTTGGATCTAAGGGCGTTGTGTTGTTTTTATTGGCTACTATACTATCCAAAAGGGGTATAAGTGTTATCATCCTCAATCCCAAAAAGTATATATTAGTATGGATGTCACGTTTCACGAGGCAGTCATATTTCTCTACTCTTTCACCCTCTCGGGGAGCAGTGTATTCAAGAAGAGATGCTAGAGGATGGATTTCTTTTCTTACCTCTCAATTTGTGATTTAGGGGGAGCCTTAGGGAGAAACACCTATTCAGGCGGAGTAGACTACCTACTTGTGGCAGATTAGATAGAGATGATTTGTAGTGCTATACTCGATGACAAACAAAGTAGATCACCATCCATATGAGTCACCTACTTTAATGGAGAATACTTGACATATCTTATGGAACATGAGATTCACCATCAATCTAGTTGTATGGATACACCTGAGTAGAATGGTGTAGCAAAAAGGAAGAATCGATATCTCTTTGAAGTGGCGCACTCCTTGATGTTTACTATGGGCGTACCTCAGTCCTTTTGGGGAGATGGAGTACTTGCTATTGTGTAGCTTATCAATCGGATACCTTCGAGAGTTCTTGACTTTGCCACTCTTATAGAGTTGTTTCAAGGGTCAGTTTCTCATTATTCTATTCCCCCAAAGGTTTTTGGTTTCATGTGTTTTGTACATCATTACCAAAAGACCAAGGGGAAGTTGGATCTAAGGGCGTTGTGTTGTTTTTATTGGCTACTATACTATCCAAAAGGGGTATAAGTGTTATCATCCTCAATCCCAAAAAGTATATATTAGTATGGATGTCACGTTTCACGAGGCAGTCATATTTCTCTACTCTTTCACCCTCTCGGGGAGCAGTGTATTCAAGAAGAGATGCTAGAGGATGGATTTCTTTTCTTACCTCTCAATTTGTGATTTAGGGGGAGCCTTAGGGAGAAACACCTATTCAGGCGGAGTAGACTACCTACTTGTGGCAGATTAGATAGAGATGATTTGTAGCGCTATACTCGATGACAAACAAAGTAGATCACCATCCATATGAGTCACCTACTTTAATGGAGAATACTTGACATATCTTATGGAACATGAGATTCACCATCAATCTAGTTGTATGGATACACCTGAGTAGAATGGTGTAGCAAAAAGGAAGAATCGATATCTCTTTGAAGTGGCGCACTCCTTGATGTTTACTATGGGCATACCTCAGTCCTTTTGGGGAGATGGAGTACTTGCTATTGTGTAGCTCATCAATCGGATACCTTCGAGAGTTCTTGACTTTGCCACTCTTATAGGGTTGTTTCAAGGGTCAGTTTCTCATTATTCTATTCCCCCAAAGGTTTTTGGTTTCATGTGTTTTGTACATCATTACCAAAAGACCAAGGGGAAGTTGGATCTAAGGGCGTTGTGTTGTTTTTATTGGCTACTATACTATCCAAAAGGGGTATAAGTGTTATCATCCTCAATCCCAAAAAGTATATATTAGTATGGATGTCACGTTTCACGAGGCAGTCATATTTCTCTACTCTTTCACCCTCTCGGGGAGCAGTGTATTTAAGAAGAGATACTAGAGGATGGATTTCTTTTCTTACCTCTCAATTTGTGATTTAGGGGGAGCCTTAGGGAGAAACACCTATTCAGGCGGAGTAGACTACCTACTTGTGGCAGATTAGATAGAGATGATTTGTAGCGCTATACTCGATGACAAACAAAGTAGATCACCATCCATATGAGTCACCTACTTTAATGGAGAATACTTGACATATCTTATGGAACATGAGATTCACCATCAATCTAGTTGTATGGATACACCTGAGTAGAATGGTGTAGCAAAAAGGAAGAATCGATATCTCTTTGAAGTGGCGCACTCCTTGATGTTTACTATGGGCATACCTCAGTCCTTTTGGGGAGATGGAGTACTTGCTATTGTGTAGCTCATCAATCGGATACCTTCGAGAGTTCTTGACTTTGCCACTCTTATAGGGTTGTTTCAAGGGTCAGTTTCTCATTATTCTATTCCCCCAAAGGTTTTTGGTTTCATGTGTTTTGTACATCATTACCAAAAGACCAAGGGGAAGTTGGATCTAAGGGCGTTGTGTTGTTTTTATTGGCTACTATACTATCCAAAAGGGGTATAAGTGTTATCATCCTCAATCCCAAAAAGTATATATTAGTATGGATGTCACGTTTCACGAGGCAGTCATATTTCTCTACTCTTTCACCCTCTCGGGGAGCAGTGTATTTAAGAAGAGATGCTAGAGGATGGATTTCTTTTCTTACCTCTCAATTTGTGATTTAGGGGGAGCCTTAGGGAGAAACACCTATTCAGGCGGAGTAGACTACCTACTTGTGGCAGATTAGATAGAGATGATTTGTAGTGCTATACTCGATGACAAACAAAGTAGATCACCATCCATATGAGTCACCTACTTTAATGGAGAATACTTGACATATCTTATGGAACATGAGATTCACCATCAATCTAGTTGTATGGATACACCTGAGTAGAATGGTGTAGCAAAAAGGAAGAATCGATATCTCTTTGAAGTGGCGCACTCCTTGATGTTTACTATGGGCGTACCTCAGTCCTTTTGGGGAGATGGAGTACTTGCTATTGTGTAGCTCATCAATCGGATACCTTCGAGAGTTCTTGACTTTGCCACTCTTATAGGGTTGTTTCAAGGGTCAGTTTCTCATTATTCTATTCCCCCAAAGGTTTTTGGTTTCATGTGTTTTGTACATCATTACCAAAAGACCAAGGGGAAGTTGGATCTAAGGGCGTTGTGTTGTTTTTATTGGCTACTATACTATCCAAAAGGGGTATAAGTGTTATCATCCTCAATCCCAAAAAGTATATATTAGTATGGATGTCACGTTTCACGAGGCAGTCATATTTCTCTACTCTTTCACCCTCTCGGGGAGCAGTGTATTCAAGAAGAGATGCTAGAGGATGGATTTCTTTTCTTACCTCTCAATTTGTGATTTAGGGGGAGCCTTAGGGAGAAACACCTATTCAGGCGGAGTAGACTACCTACTTGTGGCAGATTAGATAGAGATGATTTGTAGTGCTATACTCGATGACAAACAAAGTAGATCACCATCCATATGAGTTACCTACTCAGTCATCATCTCCTGACTTAATTCCTGAGATCTCCTCCCCTGCATCAGGTAATGAGCTTCTTTGTAGTAATCCTGTTGATGATAGTTCTTTACGTATTGCTATTCGGAAAGGAGTCTGGACTTGTACCCACATCCTATTTCTAAGTTTGTTTCTTATGACTATTTGTCATTCTCCTATCGTTCTTTTGTTTCGTTTTTGTCTTCTATGTCTCTTCATTAGAATTGACGTGAAGCCCTTGCATAGCCCAAGTGGAAAGTAGCCATGATAGAAGAAATGAGAGTTCTATGAAAAAATGAAAGTTGGGAGCTTGTATCTCTTCTAGTTGAAAAAATTAGTAGGCTATAGGTGGGTGATTACTGTCAAGCTGAATACAAATGGTATAGTGGATAGACACAAGACATGACTGGTAGCTAAGAGATTTACTCAGACATATGACCTGGACTATCAAGAGACTTTTGTCTCTGTAGCTAAGATGAATTCCAGTCGGGTCATTTTTCTTTTGTTGCCAATTGGGATGGGATCTACAACAACTGGATGTAAAGAATGTATTTCTTCATGGGGACTTGGAGGAGGAAGTGTATATGAATATTCCTCTGGGTTAAACCAGTCTCCTAGAGCTTGGTTTGACAGATTCTATAAGACAATAGTCAAGTTTGGGTACAAGAAATGTCATGCAAATCATATTATATTCATCAAACAAGCGAGTGGTAAGATCTTAGTTCTTATGGTATATGTTGATGACATAATGCTCACAGGTGATGATGTGGGGGAAGTGACCAAATTGAAAGTTCACCTTGCTAAAGAATTTGAGATCAAGGACTTGAGGCGTTTACGTTATTTCTTAGGGATTGAAGTGGTCAGGTCAGATAAAAAGATCTTCATCTCACAGAAGAAATTTATCTTTGATCTCCTGAAGGAAATCGGTATGTTAGATTGTAGACTGTCAAAACACCCATCGAGACAAACCACAGACTGAAAAATGATGAAGGTGATCAAATTGATAGGAAAATATATTAGTCGCTAGTTGGGAGACTCATAGACATTTTTCACACGTGCATAAACATAGCATATGCAGTGAGTGTTGTTAGTTAGTTCATGCATGCTTCTCGAGCCCCTCATCGAGAGGCTGTTCATTATATACTGAGGTATGTCAAGTCATCTCTAGGCAAAAGAATATTGTTCTCAAAAACAGGATCATATGAAATTAGAAGCTTTCACAGATGTAGATTGGACCGACTTAATTGATGATAGGAGATCTACTACAGGTTGCTCCACCTTTGTAGGAGGAAATCTAGTTGGTGGAGTAAGAAGCAAGCAGTGGTGGCTAGATCTAGTGCAGAGGCAAAATACAGGCTATGACTGATGGTATATGTGAGTTTATGTGGCTGAAAACCTAAATGAAAGACTTGAGGGTCTCTAATGGTAAACTTAGGCATCTGTATTGTAATAATAAGACTGTCATAAATATTGCTCACAATCCAGTCCAGTATGATAGAACAAATCACACAGAGATTGATAGACATTTTATTAAAGAGAAACTAAATGATGGGTCGATTTGTATGCCCTTGTGATGTCCAAGGAACAATTGGCCAATGTTTTTACTAAGGGACTTAGTAGTAGAACTCTTCATTCAGATGTATGCAAGTTGGGCATGAAAGATATCTATAATCCAACTTGAGGGGGAGTGTAGAATGCTAGGATGTTTTAATTAAGGGTATGATTGTAATTTGAAGCATATTATGAGATTAATATAAATATGGGTGATCAGAGGGTATTGGTAATCTTGGACTCTCCTTAACCCTATTTTTCTTATGTCTTCTCTTCTCTTGCCTCTTTTCCATTCTAAACCCTAAACTACAACACTGAACACTTTAAAATTTCAACTGTTACCAATGTTATACATAAAATCTTTTACTTCTTTGAAAGGGTTCCACACTTTAATATCGTGTTACTTCTAAAACGATCTCAGGTATATTTATGCAGGAACACCGAGGGAAAATTAGATTCTGAAGGTAGAGTATGGGCTGCTCCATATCGTTGGGGAAGCATGGTGATAGCTTATAAGAAAAGCAAATTTCAAAAGCATAATTTGGCTCCTATAGAGGTAAGCTGTCTTTCTAGCTTTCAAGTCTTTTGTAGTCTTTGGCTTTGCATCCTAAATCAAAGCTAAGATGACTATCCTTTGTGCTCATGCCATTGGTGTCTATATGTGATTGTTGTTTCCATCGTTGTAATATGGTCCTAATAGTTATAATAGATCTATTCAAGAAGTTTCCATTTGCACATGAATTTCTTTGGTTCCATAATTTTTTGATTTCTAACTTCTTTTGAAGAGATTCACTTAATTTCAAACCCCTACCATTTACGAAGCTTTTGCAACCTTTTACTGCACACTTACAGGAACACTTAAAGCTACAGTGGTGCTTTTTGTGATTTACTATTGCACACTTACACTTGTAACCACAAGGGAAATTTCTGCCTTGCTAGACTGGCTTCCGCTCGATTGCTCTATTAACATTCTTTTCCAAGTTAATAATATCTAGATATTAAACTACATAGGCTTACTTATTTCTTATATCCTCGTACAAGTTGACTTGAGCTAGTTCTTAAACTAAATATGTTCACTTGTGTATTATATGTAAACAGTTCCTGATTGCTTGGATGCTCCATCGTTTGCAGGAGCAGCAGTAAACATTATGTTTGAGTACATGTATATTGAATTGAACTGGATCACACTGTGCTATTTTTCGAAGTATTGTTGCCATGTTATTACACAATGGATTGGTTATTCACTCTATTACACAATGGATTGGTTTGAAGTTTAAATTGTATGAGTTGTTTATCCAATTACTGATTATTTGCTCAACAGATAGAAAAAAAACTAAAATAGGTCAGAATGAGCGGTTGAATATATATTGGGAAAATGGAATGATGTTTCCAGTGACTGGTCAATCATGGTTAATATTATCGAAATTTGCGTATATGTGTTTTTCAGTATTTCCTAGTGGGATATGTGCCCAGGTCCTTGATAATCAGAAAGGGTGGTAAAATATTGCATAATAATATAACGAGATACGAAGGAGTTTGTGGTATCAGTTTGCAAGGTCCATAGATTTTAATTAATGAGGGAGTTCATGTTATCCTTGATTAGGGCACAGTGGCTTGAAGTTTAATACACATGTATTCTGTGCCTTTCTATTTTGTACTTTTTTTGGCTTGCATTTTTTGATTTTTATTTGAAGGGTCTCTCATTTCAATAAAATTTTCATTCTTGCTGATGAAAAATAAATTAAAATGGGCTATTTTTGGTATTCATATCAAGGTCCCATTAGTTGTTTTTAAATGAGGGATCCTTTAAGTCGTCCATCCCTTGTATTATCTTGAACTTGACTATGCCTCTTCTTGTTTATATGCCTGTTTGAGGTAGTACTCCTACCATGCTGACAAGCCAAAAAGTGTTGACGTTACACATTTTCTCTTAGAATACCAGTATTACCTTTTTTCGCCTCTTCCTTCCTCCACAAGTGCATTGAGAATACAGACACCCCCCTGCACACAACTATCTTCTCCTGCCCCTCTCCCTTGGCCCGCAATCACTTTCACTCTGCTCCAGAACCACCACCAGTTCACACACAACACAGTCAAATTGTGAGAGAGAAGTTAGAGAGAGAAACACTGTCAAACCAAATTCCAGCATGCACACAATTGCTTCTTATTTAAGAGACAATTCAGAAATCAGTGAACTAGACCACAGTCGACTGCCACACCCAATCCGCAACCACAGTCAGCCAAAGACTTTTATTTTCGGTAAAAGCCACGTTAATCAAAGAAGCTGCATAAAACCATTGGAATTCCACTGACCTTCATCCTTTTTGTTTCTACCCCTAGTCTATGAAATGGATCACAAAGTTCTGTACATAGTAAAAACTAGGAACAAACGCTGGAAGGCCGTGGCCTCAACAATGTCTCAAGAGGCTAGTTTCGTGGAGGACCCAAGTGCCTGGGTCATTGATCTTGTCACTAATGTCCAAGGTGGTGGCAGTAGAGTTGTTAACGAAGTGTGCGAATCGTACTTGGTTTGGGGGGAATGGAGCGCACAACTTTGGGGAACGGTTTTGGTTGGGGAGGGAGAGGGTGAGCGTTTAATGCAATGTTTTTAAAAGGCACGCCTAGGTGAGTCGAGTGTGCTTTACGGGGCCTAAGACGAGGCGACTTTGTCCCATCAAAGTGTAGGCATCCAAGGTGCGGATATCTGGTTGAAGCCCGGGACCCCACTGGAACTATTGCAGGAAGACCATACTTGTTGATTCTCTCGTCTCTCTCACTACCCAAGCCAATTGGTTAAATCCAATGATTCTTTTGTTGCCAATTGAATGATTTTGGTGAAGAATTTGAGGCTAGTGTTCTTCGCCCATGGTTCTTCTTCTCCAACTGAAGAAGCCTTTTTCTTCTTGTCACATTAAGCCCCATGCTGCCTTTTGTTGTCCCTCCCCTTATTTTTCTCATTTGTTTATTCTCTTTTTTTTTTGGTGATGTTGGTTTTGTGTTTTTTTTTTTTGTGATTTTTTTCTTTCTTCTTTTTCTAATTTTAATCCCTCTTATTGGAAAGAGAAATTGGTACAACCTGTTTCTTTTCCTACCATATGGAACTATCACAGGAAGAACATAATTGTTGGTACCCTTGTCTCTCTCGCTACGCAAATCGATTGATTAAATCTGAGACAATTTGTCTTTGTTGCCAATTGAAAGATTTTTGGTGAAAAATTTGTGGCTAGTCGTCTTTGCCCATGTGAATTCGTGAGGAAAAGACATGGATTAAAATTGAGAATTATACATATTGTTTTGCGTATACACTTTTGTGTCCAACACATGTCCATTGTGGATGCATATCGGCGAAGTATCCAAGTATTTTATTTTTGGTGGATACGTATTGGTGTGTATTTGATATGGTTACACCAAGCTTAACAAATTATCCTTGCTTCATAGGTGTTCAATGACATGTTGCACTGCATAAATCCCCTATATTGGTGATGGAAGCATGGTTCTCATGGACTCTATGCATGCTTATGCGAAAAAAAATGTACTATAGTATATTAACTTTGATGCAGACTGATGGAAACTGATAACGTCCAATAAAGTTGTATAAAAGACGTGGGCTGGATGGTTCTAAGGCCCAAGCCTTAATTTGGCTTATATTGGATGATGTTGGGCCCACTTGGGATATTGACTAGACATGGGCTGATTTCTAAAAGTCTACATAACTTTTCATTTGCCTTATGACCTTTCATTTAGTTACATTAACCATAGGTTTTCTATGTATGTATCCATAGATTCATTCATTGTATCTAGTTTTTTGGGAGTGGAAAAGTTTCAGCATTAATTAGTTTCTGAAGTCTTATATATTGATGTAACTTCAAAACTTGAAGTATGATGAATGAATATATGAAATTTTCAGAAGCTTTTCTAAGCTTTTAAGATTGTGTGATGCAATCCTTTCTTTAGTTTGATGCTAAAGAACCCCTAGGTAAGATGCCTTGGGTTTCTAGGTGTGAGGCCTAGAACTATCTTCTCTTCCTTCTAATTCTCCTTCTTGCTTTTTATCTACTGTTCACAGCCGTCTAAACAACCCTTAAATCGCCCAAATTTTCAGTATTTTCTCTTTCCTTAGCCGTCTCCCAATTCTATCCTACATCATTTTTGGTATCAGAGTAGGGTAGTACTATGACTACACGATCAGGCTGGCCTTTTAGAGGTAGATTGACAGATAATGAGCGAGATGAAATGCTATTCCGGATTATGGAACAGCTGAATGGTATAAGCATCCGAATGACCAACTTGGAGACTAGAATTGTTTAACCACTTAATAATACATCAGCCCATGAGCAAGGAGAAGCTGCTATTGAGAGTCATGTGGAGAATGAAAGAGTAGTAGAGGTACAAGTTCCAAATCCTTCTCTAGCACGTGAATTACCGGCTGGGATACCATAACCTTCCATGCCAGAATGGGCTAGAGAAGTGCAAAAAAAAGAGCGGTATGAGATATATGATATGATCGGAGATATCACGAAGAAGGTTAAAATGGATGTTCTAGACTTCGAAGGTAAAGTAAATCCCACGTTATTTTTTGATTGGCTTGCTTCCATTGAGGAATACTTTGATTGGTTTGATATGACTAACGATCGACGAGTGAGATTTGCTAAGATGAACCTTGTAGGATTAGCAAAAATTTGGTGGACAGGCGTTGAAGGTGATATTAGGCGATTGGGATAGCCACTAATTAGTACATGGGAAGAGATGAAAGCTAAACTTCAGGAGAAGTACATGCCAACAAATTACCATGAGAAGTTATGTGAACAACTCATGGAATTAAAGCAAAATTGCATGTCGGTGGCCACATATATGCAGAAATTTGATTAACTTAAAACATGGAGTCAAGTGGTGGAAGCTCCAAGTCAAACTCTTAAGATGGGTTTGAGGCCAGATATAAGGAGGGAGTTGCTTCGTCAACCCTTGTACAGTCTTGAATATGCTTTCCAGGTTGCCTTGGATATGGAGGAGTATTTGAAGTACCCAATTACGAGAAAGTTTGGGTCTCAAGCTGGGGAGACAATATCAAAGAAGTACAATGATGCAAGTAACTTTTGGACCAATGGTTCTAAGCCATCTTCTCAAAACATGGTTGACCCAAAAGACAAAGCTCATCTGACCAACAAATTGGGAGGAAAGGAAAGCAGGTGTTTCAAATGTGGGGAGACAGGTCACATGGTGTTTCAATGCCCAAAGAGAAACTTACATATGGGAGTGGAGCATAATGAGGAACCTGACCAATAACTCCATGAGGATGAGGAGGAATCGTTTGATGTTGGGGCCTTCAATACCGATGATTTAGAAGACGAAGAGACTGGCACTTCATTGATTTCGGTTGTTAGGCTTATCCTTGTTGCCCCTAAAGTTGAGAAGGAAGATTGGAGGCACACTTCTATTTTCTAGATGCTGGTTCGTTGTGGAGATCAAGCCCGTAGGCTTATTGTTGATGGTGGCAGTTGCATGAATGTTGTATCATCATCCATAATTGAGCACCTTAAGCTTCCCATTCAACCACATCCTCAACCATATAAGGTATAGCTTGGATTGATAGCACTTCTATTCCGGTAACTCAACGATGCTTTG